GAGATTGCGCGAGCAGGGATGGCCTTGCCTTGCCAGGCCTCGTGGACCGCTGGAAGCCCTCCTCAAACAGCACGGCCATCTCCACGGCGACACGGAGGGGAAGGGGGGGCGTGTTTGTTTGTGTGTTTCTGTTACAGTGTGTGTGGGTGTGTGCACGCGCGTGGAAGGCTGGGATGGAGAAGAGCAGGAAGGGATTCGGTTCCCATTTATTTTTCAGCAATCCATTCGAGTCGGATCGGAGCGCCCCGTGCCCTGCGCGGCCCGGTGTGAGGTGTGTTGGGTGTGTTTGTTTCTCGCGGACGCGGAGGCGAGGGTGGCCGTCGAGGTGTCGCAACGCGCCGCCAGAGGGCAGCATCGGGTGATTCCGAGGGTCGTTTCCGTCGCTCTGTCTCTCTCGCACTCATGGGGCGTCCCGCGTGGGTGCGAGAGAGACAGAGCGACGGAAACGACTCTCGGAATCAGTCTGCAGCGCGGGCCGAGCGTCCGTGGCGATGGCCACGTGGACACGACGACAACGACGAGGACGGGGGGCAGCGGGGGCCGCAAGCATCAGTCGCATTGCGCCGGGGCATCCGTCTCTGTCGGGCCGACAACCCGACAGCAGGCTGGTAGCTCTGTCTCGCTCACACCCCGCGGGACATATCGCCGGAGTGCGAGAGAGAGAGAGAGAGAGAGAGAGAGAGAGAGAGAGAGAGAGAGAGAGAGAGAGAGAGAGAGAGAGAGAGAGAGAGAGCCTAATGGGCGGCGGGGTGGGCGCGGCAGCCCGTCCCAGCCTGTCCTGTTCCGGCGGCCTACAACCCCGCCGATGACCCGACAGCACCGCCCCGAAGGAACGCAATCGTTCCGCGCCATCTCTTGCTCCGTCCGTCTGTCTCTCTCGCACCCGCGCGGCCCGCCGGCCCGCCCCACGAGCGCGACAGAGACAGACGCAGCGACGGAAACCCTGTTCGGCTTCGCGTACCGTCTTCCTGACCCGCCACGTTGTTCGTGTTGCAGGCCGACGCCACGCCCACGCTGGACGAGCAGTCCATGTTCAGCAGCGCCGAGGCGCACTCCGTGAGCTCCTGCTCGTCGCCCTGCGAGTTCCAGCAGGTGGCCGAGCTGCCGCAGGACACCGAGAACGACAACGAGAACGACAACGAGGTGAGACGGCGACCAGAAGAAGACGAAGGCGTCACAGGTGCACAGTGCAGTGGGCCAGTGGGTCAAAATCCCGAATGCGTTTTGAGCTCCAGAGTCGTTAAATGAGGCTCGAACCGAACGTGCGACCCCAC